CCGGAGCCTGTGCTCCGCAACGGGAGAGGCCACAACAGTGAGAGGCCCGCGTACCACAAAAAAAAAAAAAAAAATTAAATAGCAATCCTTAAAAACTGCAAGCAAAAAGAAATACTTTAACACAACTGTGTATCCAGTTGGTGCCATCATGTCCTGCCCGCCAGGGTGGCTCTTCTTTTCAGGCACACTGAACATCCAGAGTAGCCAGCCCATTCCCAGCATCAGATTCACCTAGAAGGACCTAGGACAGGATGCACAGCAAGGCAGCCTCGCACAGCCACCAGAGGTGGGAGCATTCACGACAGTCCCTGAGCTGATCTGTATGGCTACCCAGGAGCTCTCCTCTTCTGACTCCCAGAGACAGCCCAGATGTGAGGATGAATCTCACACAGGCCGATGCAGGGGACGCCTGACCCGGAAGCCTCCTTTTCCGCCAGAGCCAATCTCTAAACGACTCTACAGGCAGAGCCTTCAGGATCCCCTCAAGGGACCTGCCCTTGTCCTTGCACCCAAGGACGCCCAAATACATGGCTTTCTATGGGACATTTGGGGTTCTCCCAGGCCAAGCACAAACTACCAACTGGGTCATTTTACACTAAGCGGGGGCCGCTGACTACAGCAGGGAGGGCAGCCTGCTCAAGCTGTTGGAGTCCCAGCTGAGTGAAGAGGGTGTTTCTAAGGATGCTGCCTTGCAAGGGTGCTACAGCCCGCGGCGGGGGAGGAGGCATGTGTGGGAGGGGCAGCAGCACAGGAGACTGGCTCAATATGGGGGATTGGCAAAATAAGTTAACATGTTAAAGGTAAGGGAACCAGGTCTCTCAGTGTTGCAAAAGAATAATAAATTTGGAAAGGGAGAAAAGTAGGATGAGCCCTGTGGTGCTGGATTGGATTAGAGGCATCAGGGTGAACTCTTTAACTGTCAATGTATAATAGATACAGAAATGTAGACAGAAACATGTTTAAGTAACCTTAGCTCTGTCCAGTAGGAGAAGCTGAAAACAGTGACACCCCATGAGCAATAAGCACTCCTAGTGTCCACATCTTGGCTTTTAAACAGCATTCGCCACAAAAAGAAACCAGGATTCCTTGGAGAAATGACTAATTCCAGGGATGAATCAGGCAAAGTACACAAGAGCCTAGAATAACTGTAACTCCACAGGAAACCATCATGAGTCTAACATAAATAAATGAATAAATTAAGAATCTGATGAGGAACAGGATATATACATGGTTCCAAAGTACCGAGCCACAAAAATATTTTTTAATTACAGAGGGGAAAAAGAGGAGCTTTACAATGGAAAAAGCTGGCAGATGCCACCTTAATCAAAAGATGAAAGTGAACATCAGCAGTATTGGGACCAACATGTGCAGCCTGAGAGGGTGTAATGAGAAGAGCACAGCCTCACTTCTGTGAGACTCTGCTGCCCAAACGGCGTTACCCAACTCTACCATGAGTAAACATTAGCCAGCGCCTGTGTACTTGAGCTTCCACTGCCCTAGACAGTGCTGCAGTGCCTCACAAATTCTGTCATCACATATTTCATCTGAATTAGGAAATGACAAAATGTAGGCAGTAATGATGATGGGGCCTGACACACAGGGGCCCAGGGCGGAGGGAAGAGCATCGTTTTCCATGCCTTAATAAAAATAGCTGGCCAACACTCACAGCCAGCAATCATGTTTTATCACCCATCTCTTCAGCACTATTCCAAGCATCCAAAGGAACTTCCCCCTAGAAGTGACACTGCTGCCTGTCAGCAGCAGAGCTGAGGAAGAGAAAGGACAGCACACAGACCAATGAGCTCACGTGACAATTTGCTTCCCCACTGACGCCATGCAGCATCACCAGCCACTACAAATACAAGTATCACCCAATGTTCTCCAAGATATCCTAGGAGTGACAAGAGAAACATTCTAAAACACATACCAAACCAAGCAGAAGCCGATATTTCATTTCATACACTCAACTAATTAAGAGAACTAGATTTCAAGCAGTGATACTGTTTTGCCTCCTTATTCTTACAGATATGTCTTTTAGAATGTTTGTAATTTGGGGCAATATGACAATCTGGTATTAGCTGAGCTGTGGGAAAGACAGTCCTTCATCCACTCATAAAAATATAATGGATGGGATCCAGTTAATTTTAATCCTGAATATTTTCCAAAATTCCCCTACTGCTTTTAGTACCACTGGCAAGGAACCACCGGGACGACTCAATAAATCAGTGTTAACTTTTGCACATACAGAAATACCACTCCTTACCTTTTTAAAAAAAACATCAGTAATATATACCAAGGGAAATGAGAAGTAACAAAATGGAGGTTACTTGCAGAGGGACACCAAATCACAACAGTGACAGAAGAGAGCCCTGCCTATGAGGGACAATGACACAGGGAAGGCAGGAGTTGCATTTAGATTGTATTTAGATTGTATTAGCTGTTCAGTAACTTAAGCCCATTTTCCAAAAGTCAATTATCTGGTAATTTAGAATCCAGAAAACTTTTCAATAGAATAATATATGCTCTTGGCACCTCACTGTAAAAGTAATGTCCTGTACTCCAGCAGGGCAGCAAAATGTCTTAATAACGTTTCCTCAAGAAGGGCACCTGTAAATATATCTGAAAGTCAAGCCTGCAGTTAATTCAAAGCAGTTGTGCATCATGAATTGACTGAAATGCCCTATGGGATTTCTGGAACCAAGATGAAATTTCATGGATTGATCCTACTGAAAAACATTTCCAAAAAAATGACTTACATTCTTCAAGATGCAAAGATATGGGACTGAGGTGATTTAGATTATCAGGCTAGAAATCCTTCAAAAGAAGGGGAAAAAAGCATCATCACGTCTTCATCACCCTCCAGTATAACCACCACATACCATCCTCAATTATCTTTCCAAAAGTCAATTCCATAGCCATTTAACATATAAATCCTTTTGATATAATAAATATATTCTCAGTACCTAATTTAAAAAACCATGTCCTGCACTGGGCGAGGGGGACGCCAGGTCCCTGCTCCTCAGAACACCCCCAATGCAGCCCGTAACAATGCTGTAACCCTCTCCTGTAATACTTTCCCACACTGACAACGGGCTACCTGAACTGCACTCAGTCCAGCCACAGAACAAACAGCCTCCAGAGCCGGGGGCGGGGGGTGGTGGTGGTGGGGGTGGTGGGGGCTGCTGGGCAGGGAAGCATCTTTAGCAGAAAGAAGTCACTGGAGACATGAGACTGAAAATGCAATCTGGCTCAAATTTTTAAAAAGGTAACCATTAGTACAATTAAAAGAAGACCAGAGGAGCTTCCCTGGTGGCACAGTGGTTGAGAGTCTGCCTGCCAATGCTAGGGGACACGAGTTCGTGCCCCGGTCCAGGAAGATCCCACATGCCACAGAGCGGCTGGGCCCGTGAGCCATGGCCGCTGAGCCTGCGTATCGGAGCCTGTGCTCCGCAACGGGAGAGGCCACAACAGTGAGAGGCCCGCGTACCGCAAAAAAAAAAAAACCAGAAACCTCTAAAACCACAGAAAGGGAAAGTAAAGAAAACACAGATCATGGAAAAAAGATATAAAATAAAGGTACAGTTAAGACACAGAAAGACAACAGTAACAGACCTAACATCAGCTATGGCAACAATGTTAACTGTATTAAAAAACAAAGAATCCCTTTATCCTACAAAAGCTTCTTGCTTTTCACCCCATTTTGCAGTTCTCGGAGACTATCCACTTCCTGAAGTGTGAAATAAAAGTTCATTTGTATCACCTAAAAAAACAAAAGAATCCCAGACAGTCCAACAATAAAAGTGAGCTCACAAAGAATTACTTAAACCCACTAAGATGAAAACTAAAAGTTACAGAATGTTACATAAATGAGCCCTCAATGAAACCAATGGTTTCCTTTTGGTTCAATAAAGGGCACAGTCCATAAGCAAGAACTTTCATGAGCCCAATGAGCATCAAAATATGGTAAGCAAAATTATTAGAAATACAAAGGGAAACTGAAAAATCACAACAGTAATTACAGACTAATAGACTTCTCTGAATTTGGGGCAGATCCAATGGTTAAAGATGTAAAAAAAAAAAAAAGAGGAAGTGTGAATAACATAACTGAGACTGTCACCTTGTACTATACAAATAAAACCCTGTGGTTATATACTTTGTTACAAGTATCCACAACAATGTAGTTGGACATTAAAAAATAATTTTTAAAAAGCCCAAAGAAGGGATTCCCTGGTGGCACAGTGGTTGAGAGTCCACCTGCCGATGCAGGGGACACGGGTTCGTGCCCCGGTCCAGGAAGATCCCACGTGCCGTGGAGCGGCTGGGCCCGTGAGCCTTGGCCACTGAGCCTGCGTGTCCAGAGCCTGTGCTCCACAACGGGAGAGGCCACAACAATGAGAGGCCCGCGTACTGCAAAAAAAAAAAAAAAAAAAAGAGAGAGAGGAAAAAGCTTAGCAGACACAGCCAAAGCTATAGGCAAAGGTAAATTCATAACCTTGAAAGTTTACATTATTAATCAAGAAAAAAATGAATAAGCATGCAACTCAGAAAGTTAGGGAAAATATTAAGTAAAATTAAGGAAAATGGGAAAAAATACAAGATAAAAACAGAAATTAATCAGTAAGTAAAAACATAAGAGAACTGATAAAGCTAAGCAGCAGCTCTTTAGAAAGACTAACAAAATAGACAAATCCTCTAACAAGTCTAATTGGAGAGAGAGAGAAAAAAAGGCAAATACAGAAAACAAGAAATGAGAATGTGGCTGCGAAAACCTGCTGATGCGGCCTCGCTCCCCGTGGTGGCCATCGCAAGGGCAACGGTGGCCCGGCCCCTGTGGTACTGACCTGATGAGGGCCTTCAGGATGTCTGCCCTGCCCACCCGGGAGGCGTGGTAGACAGGGGTGCTGCGGTGGTGCCGGCTTCCATTGGGGTCGGCGCCGGCTTCCAGAAGGATCTGGGCGCTCTCCAGGTGCCCGTTCACCACGGCCACGTACAGGGCCGTCTGTCCCTTCACGTCCACCAGGTCCACCTCAGCCCCCTTCCGGATCAGGAAGTCCACGCAGTTCCCGTGGCCTGCAGTGGCCGCGATGCGCAGTGGTGTGCAGGGCAGCCAGCCACAGCACCACACAGACTTCTCGTTGATGCGGCTGAGAGAGAGCACAGGGAGCCAGGCTGGAAGAGGCGCTGGGAGACCGGCCGGCCGCTCCAGCTCCTCTCGGGCGGGACTCTGAGACAGGGAGCAGGAGGGCAGCCTTCACTTTAATAATGCTTCCAGGTGCTCTTGTTTCATGAAATGCTTTCACATAGCCACCCTACTGGGTCCACGCCTGAGGCAAGACAGGCAATAAATTAAGAGCCCAGTTCTACAGATGAGGAAATTCGAGGCGCATGTAAGACTGCCGAGCACTAGAGTTAAGATCTCCAATTTCCTGACTCGCGGTCCAAAGCTCTTTGCTCCACAAAGGGGAGAAGGGCCTGCCTGGGAGGCAGCGCAGGATGGAGGACAGCATACCTGCTCAGGACCTGGGTAAGGGCCCCGAGGCCCCTCTTCACCAGCTACTACCTGTGAAGGCCTGAGGCTGGACCGCTCCCTGGGCCTCGGTATCCTCACTGGGGCTAGGTGACCACTGTGGTCCCTCTACCTGTCTGACACAGCACAAAGGACAGCCTGCAGGAATCACCAGACTCCTGGCCAGCAGCAGCAGAGGGAAACCGTCCCGGCTCAGCCCTCATTGCAAGTGACACTCAGACCACAACTCCCCATCAAGGGATGCCAGGGCCATGCAATGCAGGGACCCATCACGTCACCAGCTGAGGCTCTTCACCGCAAGCTCCCAGCGCAGCTCTGAACAAAGCTGAGGAATACAGATCACTAAAGCAGTGACCCAGAAACATGCAACAGGTCAGGGTTCCTCCTTCAGCTGGTTACTAGCTTCCACTAGCCAAGGAGGCCAAGGAATGCTCCAAGGACTCATCACCAAAGAAGTACACAGCAAGAGCAAAATATCGTCAAGAAACCAGAGATTCACTGAACCTGAGTGAAAGAAAGAAAAACGGTACTTGAAAAAGCAATATGAACATACTTGGTCTATTTTAGTAGCTTAACTCTATTCTACTATTATATCTGCAAATTTAAGGTTTTCTTTGGACTTGAGTCATTCATGTTAAATATTCATGTGCAATCCACCTAATTTCTCTTCATGACGATCCTTTCTGGCTCTTTGGAGCTTTTTTATTTTTAACATGAATATCTATTCTAATGAAATAATGCTAAGACATTAGGAGGGAAAGAAGAAAGAAACCTATTCTTGTATTGTTAGAAATCCTTCTCTTGGGAACTGTCCACGAAAAGTGGTATAAGTTTCAGTATCAATACACAGGTATTTCTTCTATCAACTCACTGACATCCTAGCCCTGGAGGGGAAACAGAAACAGAGAAAGAGCCTGGAGGGGCTTCTGGCTGCAGGTGAGTTTCATGTCTACTTGAGACTCCAATCTCAGACACACAGAGAACAGGCTGAGTCTCTGTGCTCCCAGGGTGTCTCGGGTGGGGAAAAGTAACAGGAAGACTCCGATGCCATGAGGGGCTTGAGCCGGTCTGGAGGAGCTAGCAGGACGTGGCAAGGCAACAGGCAGGGTGCTACCAACAAAAGGAGCATGTCCCTGGGTAATGAGACAGCTGGCCAGAGGCTGAGCCCCAGGCGCTGGAGGCAGATGACTGAGGCCCTGAGAAGCCAGAGGAGAGCGCGTCAGGAACTCTGTACAGGTTTGCTCCATCAGGAAGTCCGGACCCAAAGGAGGGTAACGATGCAATAATTAAGGGAGAATTTACGCATGCGCCTTAGGATAAAGAGCCAGAAGAGACTCGCAAGGGAGCAGGGCCGCTGTTGAAGACAGTAATGACGCTGTCGTCGAGGGTAACATCAGGGAAGCTGATGCCCAGAGAGCACCAGGAGTTGCTGGAAAATATAAAGGTGACAGAACTGGACTTGAACTCGGGTCTCTCTGCCCTTGCCATCAGGCTGTCGCCTGCAAGTCTGACCACACTTCCGGCAGTCCCCTTTTTTCCTATCCTCGGAAAGTGGAAACGCTCAGGGTCTCCACCTGCAAATCGGAGACTGCTGGGCCTCCCTCACAGCTCCCGAGCCTTAGCTGCGTGCAGACCCGCAGGCCAGGCGCCGGGCAGCCCCGGGGCAGGCGGCGGCGCTCACCTCAGGTAGCTCTCCTCCTGCAGCAGGCTCCGGAGGGTCTGCAGGTCCCCCACGTACGCTGCATCGTGGAGCCTCGCGTCCTCACAGTGCTCCAGCGGACGGTCACAAAACTGCTCCCTCAGCCATTCCTTCAGATTCGGACCTGCACTGAAGAGAGGGGCGCCTGTCAGCTCAGGAAGCCTTGCCAGCAGCAACTGTGAGGGGCCGCCCTCGGCCGCCAGCCCTGCCTCTCCCCAACACAGGTGCTCTCCAACTCTCAAGAACACATCATTCCCCTGCTCCAGAAGCTTCCAGAGCCAGGAAAATGTAGAAAGTTTCCCTTAATGAAGCTAGCACACTCCTGACACCAAACCTGGCAAGGTTTTAAAACTTTGATGGGGTGGGTGATAATAAGCCAAAATTAGTTAAGGATAAAGATCCTAAATAAAATATTAATAAAGTGAAATTTAAAATATGTATCAAAAAAGTCACCATAAAATTACTCTAATTTACTCCAAGAATGTCTTAGTATTGGGAAAAACCATATAATCAGCTGCTACATTACAAAAGGACACCTGACTTTGGCAAAACTCAATAGCCAGAAAAACACTGCTGCTTGTAACCTGAATGACTCTGCCATGTGATCTGGGCAATGGCCTCGCCACACGGGAGTCCCCGTGAGTGACAAATCTGACGGTAACCTAAGATGGGTGTACTTTTCTGAATATAAGCTGCACCGCAGTAAAAAGGAAAATTTTTAAATACATGCATACAAATAGAAAGCCAGTCCTATACAATGAAGATAGAAAATAGAAAAACAATACAGACTAGAATAAATGGTGAAAATTATACCATGTACTTGAGTGAGAGTCAATGCTAGGAAAATTTTAAGTGATACCAAATAAATTAAGAGGTTTAACAAATCTCGTTGGGGTTTTTATATGAAATGTGACAAAAATCTTCTAGAAGTTTATTTGGAAATAAAAATAAGAATCACTTTTTGTTTTTTTTAGTATGTATGAGAAGAGATCTATTCTACTAGATAATAGAAATTCTCTCTCATCAGAATAAAAAGATAAATAAATCAGACAATCAACTGCCCAAAAAAGAGCTTAGTATAAAAAACTTGGTATGTGAGAAATGGGCAACAAAATCAGTGAGGAATGGGAGGAGTAGCTGCTATAAACTGAATGTTTGTGTCCCCCAAAATGTCCTGCCAAATAATATGCTGGGAGTCCTAACCCCCAAGGTGATTAGTAAGAGGTAGGACCTTTAGTACACAGGACCTTTAGGTCATGAGAGTGAAGCCCTCATGAATGGGATGACTGCCCTTATAAGAGACCCTGGAGAGCTCCCTCACCCCCTCCACCACATGAGGACACAGTGAGAAGACAGCCGCCTAGGAACCAGGAAGCAGGCCCTCACCAGACGTCAAATCTGCCAGTGCCTTAATCTTGGACGTTCCAACCACCAGAGCTGTGAGAAATAAATTTCTGTTGTTTATAAGCCATCCAGTCTATTCTGTTATCACATCCTGAATGGACTAGAACAAGTACCACTGATCACTGAACAACGCAGGTTTCATCTGCAGGGGTCCACTTACATGTAGATATTTTCAAAAGTAAATAGCACAATACTGCACAATCTGTGGTTGGTTGAATCCACAGATGCCTAGGAACCTCAGATGCAGAGGACCGACTATAAGTTACATGCAGATCAACCCCCAAGTTGTTCAACAGTCAACTGTAGTCAACAAATTTGTACAATTAGATACCTACAACTGACCCTTGAATAGCGTGGTCTGAACTATGTGGGTCCACTCACACATGGATTTTTCTCACTAAAAACATACTACACTACACAATCCGCAGTTGGCTGAATTCTTTTTTCTTTTTTAATTTTTAATTTTATTTATTTTTGGCTGCCTTGGGTCTTCGTTGCTGCGCGGGCTTTCTCTAGTTGCAGCTAGCGGGGGCTACTCGTCGTTGCTGTGCACAGGCTTCTCACTGCGGTGGCTTCTCTTGTTGCAGAGCACAGGCTCTAGGCACGCGGGCTTCAGTAGTTGTGGCACGTGGGCTCGGTAGCTGTGGCTCACAGGCTCTAGAGCGCAGGCTCAGTAGTTGTGGCACACGGGCTTAGTTGTTCCGCGGCATGTGGGATCTTCCTGGACCAGGCTCAAACCCGTGTCCTCTGCATTGGCAGGCGGATTCTTAACCACTGAGCCACCAGGGAAGTCCCTGGCTGAATTCTTAGATGCAGAACCTCGAACATGGAGGACCAACTGTAAAGTTTTATGGGGATTTTTGACCGTGCAGGGGTTTGGCAACCCCCACCCCGTGTTGTCAAGGGTCAACTGTAATTGAGTTCTTCACCTCACACTGGAGCCCAAAATATCTCTAGATAATTAAGAGCTTTATAAACATAACCGCACAGAGAGGGGCATAAGGAAAGAGCATGAACTCAGACGGCCTTCATTCAAGTCCCCACCGTGCCAGCTGTCCTAGTGTGTGACCACGCACAGTTTAAAGCACACCCTGCCGCAAGTGGACTCTCTCCAATGCTGAAGTTGCTTTTTATATTCAAATCAAATCTCTTTTGAGTACCTACTGTATACAAGGCTGGGCCACAGTACAACAGGGGTGATGCGTACGTTTCCTTACACTCCAGGATTTGATAGTTCAATGGCAGAGGTAAGACACAAAGGCCACAGGCAGGTGGGCAGAGCAGCGAGGGTTCACAAACGCATGGGTCACTCGAGCTCATGCCACAGCCAGATCTGCAGCAGATCAACAGGCAGGCATCAAGGACCGCTTGGGCCCCCGTGCCAATCCTCCTTCGGTAGTTATCCTCCACTGTAGTTATCCCACAGTTTCACTGCACAGGCTGAAAAAGTTCAAAGTAGGGGTAAGATTCAGAAGGTGTAAGGAGACTCTGACAAACTTCTGCTAAGTTCTCCTCTAGGCCTCCCTTTGCAGGCCTCTTTTTGACCCACTACCTGCCCAGCTCAACACAGCCTCCTCTCCCCCAGCTCCAGCTCCAAGATATCTTTAAGTTTGCATTTTTCTGATCAGCTTCTCCGATGACAACACAATTACTCGACACAGCGCTTAAGCTTTAACTGTGGCCCCTCTACTCCCAGGCCTGCAACACACTAAACAGTAAAACAGCACCGCCTGGATACCGACAGGAGTGCCTCTGTGTAAGGCGGAGCCAGTCTTCCTGCCACAAGGCTCTTCTCCACACTGGGAAGCAGCTGCCAGTCCTCTTCCCCCAGGTGAACCCCTCTCAGTCCCTCCCGCACTCTCACATGAAGTGATGTCCCAGACCCTAAGGTCCTGGCTGTCCCTGGGGTCAAAGTCAATACCAACCAAAGCCCAGGACACAAGAGGCTTTGTTTGTATTTTTATTCACTTGCAGTATCCCCACCCCCAGCCAGGTCCAGCCAATAGCAGGTCCTCAATAAACCGTTTGTTGGATGAATGAATGGAGGGAGGGAGGGATGAAAGGCACTACTAGCACCCGTCTCCAAATCAACATTATACCTTAAATGTTGGCACATTTAAGAGTAATAAACTCCTTAGTTTATTACTAACTAATAAACTCTTTGGAGGAGTATCTCTCCAGAGATACAGATGAGCGTGTCAAGTCCAGAACACACAGAAGCATTTCGTACCCGGGGAAAAGTGAGACAACAGACAAGGAGGGAACCTCCCCCCACCCCCCGACCCCGCAGGTTAAGAGGAAGCCTCTCCCGAAGGCGGGCAAACGCACTTCCCCGCAAATTCACATTTGTTTGGCAGGAATATTTCAAGGTGGAGACCCTCAGTCAGACGGCTATTTTGGGCGCGAGCCTTTCGAGCCGCCTAAACCGAACTATGGCACGGCTGCCTCCTCTGCCGGTGGGCAAGGGCCCCTGGACCTGCTGTGTCACTGACAGCTCGCTGGGGGTGGCGTTATCGCTGTCCCTGGCCTGTGCGGGGAGGGGGGCGGTTGTTGAGGGGAACCGATGCCAGGATGGAGAGAAGGCACCCGCCCTCCCGGGAGCTGACCTCTGGGGGCTCTCCCGACCGCTGCGCTCACAGCTGGAGGATGACCCACGTCCTCTCTTTACAGTTGGGGTCCCATCCAGCCCTAGAGGCCAGCCGGCTGGCAGTTACGGTGCAAGTTCCACAGGAGGGGAAATCGGCGCGAGGGCTGCTCTCGCGAAGCCGGGCAGCCGGACACCCCGTGAGCCGTGCTAACCGACCCCCGGCTGCGGGGCGCTGCTCCGTGGGCCCCGGCCGGCCGCAGGGCAACACGCAGGGCCCCGGCCCGGGCAGCCGCCCCGGCCCCCCGCCGCCCCGGGGCCCGGCGGCCGCGCGCACGTTACCTGCGGGCCCAGGTCCGGCCCGCCCGCCGCCCTCCGCCATGGGTGCCGGCCTTCGGCCAGTCGGCAGCTCGCCTCCACCGCGGGACCCGCCCGGAGCGCCTCCCGCAGACCGGAAGCAGCGCGACCGCGACCACTTCCGGCGCCTCAGGCTGTGGGCCGCGTCGGGGGCGCGACTTCCGGCGGTCGCGCGCCTCCTTCAGGGGCTTCTGGCCCCTCTAGCAGGGCGCCAGGGCGTCCACCTCCTGCTTCGCTCCCGATGTGAGGACGAAGGAGCGCCGGCGCTGGGCGCGCGCTGTCGGAGACGCGTACTCGGGGGTGCGGGCTGTCGGGGGCGAGCGCCGTCGGGCCCCACCGGGGCTGTGTTTCGCCACAGAAGAAGCAGAGGAGTCTGGGAAAACACGCTCACCTGGGGGACGGAGCTAATTTGCATGTTCTGGGAACTCTGGTTGGTCGGGCCCGTCCCCGCCCCCACAGAAAGGGCGAGGCCTTCTGCCGGGAGGGTGTGGGCGGGGCCGCGGGAGGTTCGCGCCGGGGTTTGAATCCCACCCGAGCCGGGCTGATGGGGCGTCCCCAGGGAGTGCCGGCTGAAGGAGGCCTGCGCCGGGCAGCGATGGCTCAGCGCCAGTGTGTCCCCGCGCGCTCAGCCGGGGGCTGGGAGCAGCCCCGGGAGAGCGTGGACGTGAAGGTGGGGGACTTTCAGTTCTGTTCCTTGCAACAGATTCTGTTGGAGAGGCACGGCACGGTTGGGCATATATTACTGTGGTATTAGGTGAATGCCCCCCGAAATTCCTTCCATGAAGTCAGGGATCATGTCTATCAAATTACTGTAGCCCAGTGCCTGACACAAAGCGTTTATTGAATAAATTAGTGAACCAAGGAATAATTTTTCTTGCCCACTCGCTTATTAAAATAACGTCGGACCATGTGCACTGAGTTTTTGTTTGTAAGCATGGATTCCTCAGGGGCCCCCCGCCGCCCCGGGGCCCGGCGGCCGCGCGCACGTTACCTGCGGGCCCAGGTCCGGCCCGCCCGCCGCCCTCCGCCATGGGTGCCGGCCTTCGGCCAGTCGGCAGCTCGCCTCCACCGCGGGACCCGCCCGGAGCGCCTCCCGCAGACCGGAAGCAGCGCGACCGCGACCACTTCCGGCGCCTCAGGCTGTGGGCCGCGTCGGGGGCGCGACTTCCGGCGGTCGCGCGCCTCCTTCAGGGGCTTCTGGCCCCTCTAGCAGGGCGCCAGGGCGTCCACCTCCTGCTTCGCTCCCGATGTGAGGACGAAGGAGCGCCGGCGCTGGGCGCGCGCTGTCGGAGACGCGTACTCGGGGGTGCGGGCTGTCGGGGGCGAGCGCCGTCGGGCCCCACCGGGGCTGTGTTTCGCCACAGAAGAAGCAGAGGAGTCTGGGAAAACACGCTCACCTGGGGGACGGAGCTAATTTGCATGTTCTGGGAACTCTGGTTGGTCGGGCCCGTCCCCGCCCCCACAGAAAGGGCGAGGCCTTCTGCCGGGAGGGTGTGGGCGGGGCCGCGGGAGGTTCGCGCCGGGGTTTGAATCCCACCCGAGCCGGGCTGATGGGGCGTCCCCAGGGAGTGCCGGCTGAAGGAGGCCTGCGCCGGGCAGCGATGGCTCAGCGCCAGTGTGTCCCCGCGCGCTCAGCCGGGGGCTGGGAGCAGCCCCGGGAGAGCGTGGACGTGAAGGTGGGGGACTTTCAGTTCTGTTCCTTGCAACAGATTCTGTTGGAGAGGCACGGCACGGTTGGGCATATATTACTGTGGTATTAGGTGAATGCCCCCCGAAATTCCTTCCATGAAGTCAGGGATCATGTCTATCAAATTACTGTAGCCCAGTGCCTGACACAAAGCGTTTATTGAATAAATTAGTGAACCAAGGAATAATTTTTCTTGCCCACTCGCTTATTAAAATAACGTCGGACCATGTGCACTGAGTTTTTGTTTGTAAGCATGGATTCCTCAGGCTCCTTCCACGCTCCCCACAGGTGGGGAGAAGGGTTCTGCAGGAGAAGGAGGAGGTCTCCAGCAGGCGGGCAGGGGACAGAGGACAGGTGAAGAGAGCGTTCCGAGTTTTACAGGTGGGGAAAAGGAGCTCCAGCAGGGGACCGATGCGTGTGAGGCTGGAGACCCCCCCCCCAACAAGCGTGCGTGTGACCCGCTGGCCTGGCCTGGCGTAGGCGGAGCCACACGGAGGGGCTTCGCATCCCCAGGAGGAGTGTTCAAGTCCAGTGGGTGGCACCACCTGGGCAGCAGGCCCTGCAGGGTTGTCTGTTGGGGGAAGGGAGCTTCCTGCAGCTCTGTTTGGGCTTGATAACAGCAGAGACCACCACTGGCAGGAAAGCCAGGAGTGACGTGCCCTCCAGGGAGCCAGGGGCTTGCCATGGCCACTGGCCCTCCACCAGACCTGCACCTCGGGAACACCTGGGAGCTTGAAAAACTCAGAAGCCTGGACCACCCAAGTGTCCATCAGCGATGAATGGGTGGGTAAACAGTGTAGTCTACCCATAGGGTGGGATATCATTCAGCCTTAAAAGGGAAGGAAATTCTAACACATATTACAGCATGCGTGAACCTTTAAGGACATCAAGCTGAGTGGAAGAAGCCAGTCACCAGAAGGCCAATACTGTTTGATTCCATTCATGAGTTTCCTAGAGAAGTCAAAGTCATAGAGACAAAGTAGATGGTGGTGCCAGGGGCTGGGGGAGGGGGAGCGGAAAGTTGCTTAATGGGCCTGGAGTTTCAGTTTGAGAGGATGTTAAAGTTCTGGAGATCGGTTGGTTGCACAACAGAGTGAATGTACTCACTACAAAACTGTGCACTTAAGGTTAAAATGGTAAAGTTTATTATGTATATCTTACCACAGTTATTTTTTTTAAAAAAAGCAAGCCTGATGCCACCCCACCCCAGAGATCCTGATGCAGGCGATCTAGGATGTGGCCGGGGCATCAGGATTTTTGAGGCTCCCAGGTGATTCGAATGCAGCCAGGCTGAGACACCTGCCCCAGCCAGCTTCAGCTGCACTGCCCCCTCCCCGTCCCAGTATCAGGGCCTTTGCATCCAGGGGTTAAGTGGCCTGAGCAGAGTGTCACTCCCTGCCGGCGCCTGGCTCTGATATTGCCCTGGGGTTCCCGTCTGTTCTCTAGAAAGACCTGGGGCCCCAATGGGTCAGAGGCATCCCACCCCTCCTCCTAACTGCCCGCTGGGCATGGGTCAATTCTCTTAACACCAGCAGGTACTGGAGCTAGCACTAATGCTCGCCCTGTTTTTTTCAGGACCCTGAGGTCAGGGAGTCTTGGTACCGTGCCCACAACATACAGTGGCCCAGTCAGGACTCAAACCCAGGACCGTCCAGCCCTGCAGCCGCTCTCCTCAGGTCTCACCTTCCCTCCAGGTCCTTTAAGCCCAAAACACCCACCGACAAAGGGCTTCGAGTGAATGGAACAGATGGAATTCATCAGATCACGCGACCAACCTCCTCCCAACAGGAACTCCCTGGTGCTGCCACAGCTCTGGGAGCACCAGCCCTGGACAGACACAGGGCCAGTGCCACCTTCAGGCAGAGTAGGGGGCTGTCCCCGCACCCCTCCAAGTCCCAGGGGCACCCTGGCATTTTCCCACCCCGTCACTTCCTCCTACCCCAAAATCCCCCATCGCCTCCTGCTGCCATCTGACAGCTCAGGCCTGCCCCACAGCAGCCCACTTATCTGTGTCCCCAAAACAAAACATCCAAATGATCCCTCCTTGGAGTCTGGACCAGTCTTTCTGGGGGGCAACCTCCTTGGAGTCTGGACCAGTCTTTCTGGGGGGCAACTTGGCATAAAATGTTCATAATCCTTGGGCTTCCCTGGTGGCGCAGTGCTTGAGAGTCCGCCTGCCGATGCAGGAGACGCGGGTTCGTGCCCCGTTTCGGGAAGATCCCACATGCCGCGGAGCGGCTGGGCCCGTGAGCCATGGCCACTGAGCCTGCGCGTCCGGAGCCTGTGCTCCGCAAATGGGAGAGGCCACGACAGTGAGAGGCCCGCATAACGCAAGAAAAAAAAAAAAAAAAAAATGTTCATAATCCTTGACCAGAAATTGCTCTTCTAAGCGTTTATTCTAGGGAAATAATCAGATGCGAGAGAGATGTTGCTACAGGGTTGCTCATTAAGCATAATGTTTACAGAAAAAAATGTCCAACAATAGCTTTCTGGCTCAGGAGGTCCGGGAAGGGGCAAGGACTCCTCTCTTAGACCCTCGTCCCCGCCACGGCCCTGCAGGGAGCCAGGACCTCCTCTGGAAACGCTGCAGGTGCTGGGGCAGCTAGAAGCCAGAGCCCCAAGCTGCGCCGGGGCGAGGGCTCCTGCCCCGGGCTTGGGGGTGTTGGTGCTGTCGGCAGCTCAACCCTCGGAGCCCAGCCCAGGATGGGGCAGCAGACGGGCACCCCGCAGGGTGGGAAACGGGCATCTTTCCTGATCCTGGGCCCCTGGGCCTGTGTTTGGGGCGTCTGCTCTCAGGGCCTCGGGCCTCAACCCCCTTTCGGAGATCTCCTTTGCTGCTCCCTTCCCCCGCTGCCCTTGGCCTCCAAGGAGGAAGCAAGGCCACTCCTCACGTTTACCCAGGAGGCCGTGAGCGAGGGCAGCCCTCACCATCGGCTTTGACCTGGAAACACCTGACCGGCCCTGCTCTGCAGACCCTGCCTCTGCCCTTCAGAGTCCCCGCCGCCGCGGTGCCAAGGTGCTGACCCTCCGAAAGGGGGCGGAGCCTGGAGTCCGGCCAGGAGCCGGGGGCCAAGTCCTTCTGGTCCAGCAACTAGTTCAGGACGAAGCTCCTCCGGGCCTCAGTCTCCCGTAAAATGGGGCTGATGACCCCTGTCTGCAGGATTACTGTAAAACACGAAATTCCTCAGGAAGTGCACTCGCTTCCCGGTCCAGAGAGAGCCTCAGAACAAAACGGGCATCAGTGCCACGGCCTGCTCCGTTCTTCACCCAACACCGGCCCGGGGCACCTGCTGCGCTGCTGGCCTCTGGGGGTGGGGGGCGTGGTCCAGACGTGGGAG